TGTACAAAATAAGAATTCTCAGTAAATTCCAAATAACATTTGCATGGAAATCACAAGAATGAAGAAGCAGCTTAAGTTGCTGCCTGAGAGACGAATTCCTTTGAAATATGGGCAATACCCTTGAGGTATTTCAATAAATAGGATCTAAGGCCTCAATACTTAGAAGAGAGGAAAGCTGATTAATGACATATATATGAAGTGAGTCAGAAGGCAGGACGGTCTTAAAAACTGGATGTGCCCGGGCACATACTATATTAGAAAGAAAACCAAGTAAGGTGTCTGAAGAGACTAGGCAGGAGTATGATGAAACTAAACCAGGAATATTTCCCTTTAAAAACTACTCTTTCTGATGTAATCTACTTGGCAGGGTCTTCAATACTCTTTCTTGACAGGCATTAATGACGTCATGATGGATGAGGTGGCGTAATGGGGAGGCTACTAGTAAAAAATGCACCTCTCCCTTTAAAAATTATTCATAGGTAATTAGGGACAACCTTTATTATTTTTTTGAAAGATAATCTCTAGAGCAATGCTTCTCAAAGTGTGGTTCCCAATCAGCAGCATAAGCATCATCTGGGGACTTGTTAGGAATGCAAATTCCCATGGCCCACTCCAGGCCAAAACTCTGGGGTTGGGGCTAGTAATCTGTGTCTTAACAAGTCTTCCAAGTGATTCTTCTGCATTGCCCTCAGTGTTTAAGTAATTAAGTTATTTACTTATTTTACTGTCAATGTTTTCAAGGCATTCTTTCCTGTTTCAAATTAGTTAACTTTCTGAAGTTTGGAAAATACAAAAAGGATACAAAATGACGGAAGACATGGATTGTTTAAAGACATCTTCCTAAACAGAATATAGTGCTTTAAACAGAATTCTGTATCTGGCGTTGTGAAGTGCATGTTTTAGCAGGGGACGGGGGCCTGTTTTATGTGAAATAAAATCGCTTTTTCCAGGATGAGAATTCCTACAGTCCTTCACAGATGGTCTACATATTTTCCATAAAATTGTATCTACTCTCAGTTTGTTTGTCATTTGACTCATCTGCATAGGCTTATTATGACAAAATGTCATCTTAACCAAAGAAAATATTTTTCTAAAACATCTCTGAAAAGAGATCAAAGGTTTTGACACAGGCTTTAAAGAGACTGTATTATGTTATGCACATGTTGAAAAACTATATGATTTTTCCTAGGGGTAGGGGCAGTGGGATGTGTTTGAGTAATATCTTGTCAATGTGTTTCTCTGCATAGTCAGAAAAAGTCTTTCTCCAAAACTCTGTGGAGGATATATGTTTATATGTTCAACTTTTTAAGAAAGTGTCAAAGAGTTATCCAAAGTGGTCATACCATTTTACATTCCCACCAGCAGTGTAAGCAAACAAACTTTCCCTCATTCTCACCAACAGTTGGTATGGTGGCCATTCTACTAGATCTGCAGGTGTCTCTTATGGTGATTTTAATACGAATTTCCCTAATCACTAATGATGTTGAGCATCTTCTCATGTGCTTGTTTTCCATTTGTATATCTCCTGATCCAATTATTCCACTTTTTTTGAATTTCAAAAGAAATAAAATGTTCATACAAAGACATGGATCCTTTTTTTTTTTTTTTTGGTTTTTTTAAAAATATATTTTATTGATTTTTTACAGAGAGGAAGGGAGAGAGATAGAGAGTTAGAAACATCGATGAGAGAGAAACATCGATCAGCTGCCTCCTGCACATCTCCTACTGGGGATATGCCCGCAACCAAGGTACATGCCCTTGACCGGAATCGAACCTGGGACTCTTCAGTCCGCAGGCCGACGCTCTATCCACTGAGCCAAACCGGTTTCAGCATGGATCCTTGTTATAGACTGAATTGTGTCCCCGCCAAATTTATAGGTTGAATTTCTAACCCCCAATATGTCTGTATTTGGAGATGGGGCCTATAAGGAAATAATTAAGATTAAATGAAGTGATAAGGGTGGGATCTTGATACAAAAGTTTAGTGTCCTCATAAGAAGAAACATCACAGAACTTGTGTTTTCCCCCACACTTCCCAACAAAGAAGCAGACACAGTGGGCTGGCAGCCACTTATAAGCCAGGGAGAGAGGTTTCACCAGAAAGCTACTATGCTGGCACCTGATCTTGGACTTGCAGCATCCAAAATAGTGAGAAAATAAGTGTCTGTTGTTAAAGCCATCTAGTCTATGTTGTTTTGTTATGGCAACCTGAGCTTACTAGTACAATCCTCACTGCAGGATTTGTAATATTTATATCATTTGTAATAGTAAAAAATTGGAAATTACACAAATAAATGGGTAAACAATTGTTGTAGGTACATATAAATGAATACTACTGAGCAATTCAAATGGATAAACAATTAATATACACAACATGGATAAATCTCAAAATAATTATGCTGAGCAAAACAAACCAGACCCCCCCCCCCCCCCCCAAAAAAAAAAAAAAAGT